GTCGTCACTTTCAGGGCTATTTACACGCATTAGGCGGTGAATTTCTATCTGGCTTGCTTGAATAAAGCATTCTAATAATTTTGTTCGGAGATCTGCCAGATATTTCTTGTAGTTGACTATTAATTAAAAAAGAGGAGAAAGCTTGTCAAAAGCGATGGAATAATGAGGGGAGCTGGGGAGGAAGAGAGGGCAGGGGAGGGGAGTAATATGAAGAATATGGTGGAAGAGGGAGGTGCGGATGATAGTTCCCTAGCACCTTGTGAATTCGTTGCTTTTGGCGGCTGAAGCAATAGAAGAGGTAATAGAAGAGGTAGGTGGTTGTTTCAGGAGGGAGCGTGTGGGCAGGAGGTACTTGAGCTAGGAAAGGGCGATGCTCATGGTGCAATGGAAAATACTCGAGCGCACAGGAATTATGCAAAATGAAAGCTGCCGACAAGGTTAGCAAACATAAAATATGGTGCCCAGAAAGGGAAGCCGTGAAACTGGCGACGAGATCAAGGGCTGACCCTACTCCAAGACCCGACAGGTGCTCCTGATGTGAGACAATTGGACCCTTTTTAGCACATCAGGGTTCATCTTTTCTCAACTCTAGAAGTGCAAATTTTTCTGGAAGAAATTCAAAAGCACATAGTAGCAGTGAGTTTACGGGCTGAGGATTACGTTTAGTTCGCTGAAAGTCGAACTGAAGACAAGGGCTGAAAAAAAGCGTGTACGGGTCCCTATCCCCAAAATGAACGCTCTGGCCCATATTGTTTCCACGTGAGGCCCGTCAAAATTTTTGGCGGATAAGCTGTTAACTCAGGAATCAGAGAAGCTAGAAGGCTGGAATTTTTAGGGGATGTTCCCTGTCCACATAGAACTTAATGACCTCGAAACCAGCCCCAAGTTGTATGTGGTTCTCACTTACGAGCCTGTAAAAATTTTTGGCGGTAAGTTGCTAACTCGGGAGACAGAAAAGCTAAAAAGCTGAAATTTTAAGGGGATGTATTCTGGTGGCAAAAAGTTGCCAATTTCTAGTGGCAATTAAGACCAATTTTTTAGCTAGAAGCATTAGCCGAATAAAAAACAGTAGCGTTAGCGACAAAAACTTGCAGGGAACTGTGCAAAAGCGCATTTTCGCACCGGCAGTCGGTGCACTGGCCAATTATTGTATCTTGCTTCTTTGGAATTTTCAAATTCACTTATAACTGGACATATAATCGTAATTCAGGAGTGCAATTTCGTAC